TCTATCCCGACTGGATTGCATTTCTGACTTGGCGTGTGTCCATTTGCTAAACACGGCGGGATTCGAACCTCGGTTGCGCTATACCCCCAATAACCAAGCAACACGCATGACGCTTGAACACGTCAAACCTCTCTCATCTCACTTTTGCATCTATCTATTTGTCTAGTATATTTCCACTAACCTTTATACCTCCGTGGTGGTGAACTAATAATCCAGCCTATTCCTATTCTACCCATCACGATTTAGAGGAGAGGACTGATTCTATATTTAAATCCACTTAGACATGCATTAACTGTGTGTGAAAAATCTTGACCAATTTTTGGCCATGTTATGATATGCATTAACATGGCGAGATCCAAAAATAGGCAAGTAGGATCGTTATCACTCCTAACCCATACGACAAATGGTCTAACTTATCAACATTCAGATTACTGCTGGGCCAATTTCTCATCGGCACTTAAGGATTATTTTATTTCTTGACCAACATGACCATCTTAGCTTGACTCTTCGTCAGGGCTCGAAGCAGGTTACGCTCGATGGGCAGAAGGAGTGACGGATCGGCTTAAATCGGACTGCCAGTCTGTGCCCATTTCGGCCAGCCTGGTCGGACCAGAGTACTTCATTTTTATCCCACATTCCCAATCACCTCCCCATCCACATTGCAACAAGAAGCATTCATCCGACCAACGGTATCTCGACTCATGCAGAGGAATGCGCCATTTGTGAATCACACCTGGAGGGGCGCTCATATCGCAATGTGCAACCGGCCTCATGACTTCACAAGCCCGGATGCATCTGCTCTCGGACCAGTCGCCCCGACTCGGAAGCGTGGGAATGGGATTTACCGGTATTACGGCTGCTCTCGAGCGTCTGCAAAGCCCACACTCGTCCAGAGCACATGTCCCTTCCTGCCCCCCCTCCCCAACACACACCACACACATACACATACACACCCTCGCTGATCCCCGCTTGTTACACTCCCTGTCGAAATAACGCCTTCACATGCCGACCTCCGGGGCCACCGATAATGAGGCTGGACTAGCGCACACCTACGCGCATACCGGCAAGCATTAGGGCATGAACGCCCCGTCGGTCAGACGCCAGGGTTCGATGGTTGATATTGTGTGGGAACCAGTTAATGCTTCTACAATTTGGTGGAGAGACCAACAAAAGATCGGTACCGAGTGACGGGATGTAAAGGCTTGGCCTCAGTCACTGAGCCCTGGTCAGTGGTCGGGGCCATAACGATCTCTTCTTTCTGACGATCTCCTCATGTCCGATCTGCGTAAGCGATGACAATCACAGTGGCTCCAGCCTCTCGATCCATCTAGGCGTCGTCATTTGCCTATTGCCTCACGTAGTTTCGGATCAGGACGCCGAAGCATCCCGTTCGACGAGGCATCATCGACAGTCCAGCCTGCAAAAGCGGAGACGGACGAGTCAAGTCAGAAATAAGTGCAGAGAGTTCTCATGAAAGCCGCTAAAAAAAGGGGCACCAACCACATTTTATTAAGCAAGTAAAATATTGTGACATTGAAGGTGTGATTGGAGGTTATAGGTAATGTGATAGGCCAGGGCAGAACGGGAGATATCATAACTGTTTA